GACTACAACAACAAACACCTACAAACGAGTCGTCCGCCACTGCAAACCCTGTGAGCTAACTGCGCGCATTCGTGAATGACGCAAGCGCTGTGACTCGACGACGGACGCACACGGCTTTTGTTTGTGTACGCGAGGCAGAGTGGCGCGACACGCACGATCAGATGTGTTTCATTCGCTGCGCTAGGGCATTGCGGAGCGCGTGTGCGGCGTTCGTCGATGTCAACATCGTCACTGGCTGTAGTGGACGATGAATCCCCATGTCCACTCGTCGCCTTACCCCGTTCTCGTCGACCTCCCACAACAAGTTCTTGTCGAACGCGATTCCAGCATCGAGCAGGATGTTGTGGAGAATGCAGACAGCCGTGAACTGCTGCGGTAGAGTGTCCAAGTTCGTCTTGTGCGACCGCAGGAAGAGCCTCCACATCCCCTTCAACCTCCCGAACGCCCTCTCCACAACCTCTAGCGACCTTCTGTTTGTTGTCGAACCTTTCCTCGTCCGGGTGCTGACTGATTCCTCCATACGGCACCACTATCCATTCTGAAGGAGGATACCCGTTGTCGCCCAAGATGTATCCGTTCGTCCTCATCCCTCCCGATAGCGTTACAGGCGGCCCGCGAAAAAGCGTTCCCTCTTCCGCGCGCTTCGACAGACTTGACAACTGGATCACCCGAATGTCGTGGCAGCTGCCCGGGTAACCAACGAAGACGTCAAGCACACGCAGATCCAGGTCCACCACCACCTGCGCAATGACGGAGAAACAGTGCTTGCGGTCGAAGTAGTTCTCGCTCGGAGCGTTCGCCGGTTGTCCACGTAGATGTGTGTGCAGTCAACTGCGCCCTGGCAGTTGGGAAAGCCCTTGTCCTGAAAAGCCCGTAGCACCACGTGTTTACGCACCCCCGTCAGCCACGATATCTTGTCCCTGTAGACCCTCAACAACGCGGCTGTCACATCGCGCACGGCTCGAACTTCGGATGCTCTACCAATGCCGAACGATGATGTGCTGTTGTCGTACGACTCTCCTGTTGCCCACCTATACAGCGCGTACGCGACGATCTGATCCGGCTGAAGCGGCTCCCTGTAAAACGTGACCTGTCGTTGCAAATGAGGCGCACAGGCTTCGGTGATCTCCATGAACACTCTCCTCGACATGCGGAGCTTTTCCCGGAAGTAGTCATCCGTCGTGTCATCGCACACCCGCAAATCCTCCCAAGTCCCACCAGTTCTCCGCCTCATCCACCAACGTGGCGTCGCCCTGGGAAGCACACCGGAGCCGATTGCAGCGCACAGCTGAACCACGGCCTCCGAAGTCGTGATGCAGTCCGGGGCGTCCAACACCCTCTGCAGCAGAAGCCTGTGTTGCCGCCTGGAAAGCACTGCCTTCATGCGGCCCGCCGCCCTCTCCGCTTTGTATCGACGGACTACGGCAACGGCAGCCGCCGCGACAGCTGTCCTCTCCGTTCGGGACAGCACAGCACGGCCACCCCCATCGCATCCCTCCATTCGCGCACGTCCACGAGGAAGAGCAACGTCCACCGCCACCCACCTGCGCGAATGAACGTCCACGGCGACGATCGAAGATGCCTACAACGAGGTGTGGAAGACAGGCGTGATGACAAAACTTACACCGCGATGGGAGCGTTCGTCCTCCGTCCCTGAACCACGGAAGCGCCGATCGCATGGACGTGGCGAGCGCAGGAGCTGACACGCCGCTTCGTTTTGCCTGCGACGAATACACTACACATGGTGGAGGCACGGTGCCGCTGAAGTACGAAACGCGACGTCAAGCCTGCACGCTCGTCCCCCAGTCGACGTGCTCTTCCGCCTGTGCGCCGCCACACCGTTGTTCCGCGCGGAGAAAATTCGAATTTCGAATTTCGAACGAGGCCGTTCCCGCGTTCGCAATTTCATTTTCCATGGCCCGTGAAGTCTTGCCGCCGTCCGGCTGGTGGACCAGCGCGCCTCACACACGGACATCCTGAATCGGAGGTCGGACAACACCCTCGTGGCCGTCTATGATCTCATGAAACTGGCTGCGGGACGGCCCCGAGGACGCATCCTCGGGGCTACTCTCCGAGGACAGGTGGAACGACGCCTCCAAAAATAAAAAAAAACTCCGAGGATTCGTCCTCGGAGCTCGAGGACGCTCCGAGGAGTGTCGAACGACACCCACAGTCCGGTTCCTATTCCACCGGCAAGTCGTCTGGAATACATTGAGGACATACTCACGCGCTCCTCCCCATTATGGCTGGGAGGCCCGAGCGGGCGACATTGATTACTTCCATACGGAAGGATGTACCTCCCCTCACCCCTGCTTTGAAAGAGTCTGCCTGAATTCAGTCCCGCTCCTCTCAGCTCAACGGCTGTCAGATCAGTGTGCTTTACTAGAGTGGGCTGGGGCGAACTCCGCTACGTCCACAGTACTTTCTCTTGCCATTTCTCGCCTGCCCCTCTACATACCGTACCACTGCATCCCTACCAAGCAGTTGGATGGGGGGGGGAAGGGGTCGGGAAAGGCTTCGGGGGGTATGAGGGGGATGTCTGCATCTAACGTGGCGCAGTCGTTGAAGATTAGGTGGTAGTCTCGCTCTATGACTGCTCCCTGTGGACCCGGGCCTCATCTATCCCCTTTCGCTCCCCTTTCCATTCCACCTGTCCGATTCTTCCTCCTTCGGGTCCTCCCAGCCAGCTTTTGCAGAATTCTTGTATTTTGTGTTTAATGTCTTTTGGTGATTGCAGATTCTGAATAGTTGCTTTAACCGTGTCCCATTTGGCTGAGATTTCAGTTTGGATCTGTTGTATCACGCTTTCTGTGAATTCTGGGCCCTCTAGTCTCACCCCTTCCATTTCATAGGTGCCGCGTCGTCTCCACAGTGCCCAAAGGACCGCTCTTCGACCTATTGAGAACATGTTAGTGGTGTACTCGTCCGGGGATTCCGACAGTCTCCTGGGCCAGGTCTCGCAGAGCACCGCCTTCCAGTCCCAGGGCCAAGGCGAGACTGTACCTAGTTGGCTCCAAATTCTGTCCCACCAGCGCCATATCCATAGTGCCCCCGGGCACTGTAGGAATATGTGTTCTATTGTTTCTGGGCGTTTGCGGGCCGGAAAGGCATTTGTACATAGTTTGCACCAGGGAAGAGCCAGGCCTCTTTGCTCCAGCGTTGTTCTGTCTATTAGCCTGTTGTTGGTTGGCAGGCAACGATGCTCTAACTGCCATTGGAGCGACGCAATCTTGGCGGGTTTCGCCTTAGCCAATCGAAACCATTTCACCGGTCTTATTTCCGCCTGGCTGATGTTYAGGTGGGCTCTCCAACGGTCACTGACTTGGTCAGCAAGGTTGGTTTTTGGACGAAGGAGCCTGTATGTTGATTTCACCGTTAACCCAGAAAGTGTTTTGGTGCAGTTCCTTCCTCTCCTTCGTGGAGGTGTCCATGACCATTCCAAGGGRTCGAGGGGGAGTTGCTGAATCGGGGTGGCCGGCCTAAAGACTATCCATTKCTGGTCTTCCTGGAGTACTCTRATGYGGAAAAGRTCTGYTTGTGGGTGTGCGGACGTTTCTACGTCGGTGTTCCTGTGAAGGATGTTTCCTTTCTGAACACAGAAACGGTTCACCGTAACAGATCCATTCGGGTGGAGGGCAACGACCCTGCCCACACCCCCCATGCTTTCCGGGCCTGCAACCCAATCGTCCTTCTGCAAGGTAGGACCCCTGCGAAGGATTCTTAACCAGTCAATAGGGATCATTTCCGTCAGCCTTTCTAGGGCTTCTTGGGGGTGGTGACAGTATCGCAGCTTCTCCCGCAACAGGTCGGGGGCTATCCATTCCTTCTGTTCCGGGTCCCATATGTCGTGTATCCGTGTGACTCCCCTCTTCACCCATCCATGCCACAGAGAGTCCATACAATGGAGGGTTTGGCCGTTCGTATCTACTATCCACCTGTTGCCAAAGAGGGGTTGCCGAGCCACTTCCTCCCATCTAACTGGTGATGTTTTGTTCGGGAGGTTGGCCCAGAAGGGGTCTTTGGCCAGGTCATTCTTAAGTGTTTGTCTGGGTGTGACGGGACGGGGGTCCCGCTGCTGTGACGCTCTGGGTATGGGTCAGTTTCTATTTTCAAGCCACATTAGCGGGTCCGTACCTTTTTTTGTTTGAGGGGCCATTCTGGAAATTTGTTCCAGGGCCAGCCCCTGCCATGGGAAGTCGCTGTTGAAAATGAGTCGTTTAATCCATTGTAGCGCCAGTGCCTTGGTCTGTGTAAGCGGATTAGGCCTCCCTTTTCTTTGGGGAGGGTGATGGAGCGCCATGCTACCCGGTTGATAACGTTTTGTCTGTCGTGATCCCCTCTCCACAAAAAAACCGCTATTTGGCTTTGCAGAGGGCGAAGATCTTTTTTGTCCAACACCCAGATCGCTGATTTGTACCACATTGAAGTCAGAACCACGTTGTTGATTATGAGTGCTCGGCCCCACAAGGAGGTGTGCTTGTCTTTCCAGGCTGCCATTTTTGCTAGAGGGGGAGCCGTGATCCATTCCTGGTTGGTGGATGGTCTGCCGTCAGCTGTCATGGAGATGCCGAGCACCCTGATGGGGGCCTCTTCGGGAAGCCATCTGAGCCTCGGTTGTTCTGGGGGTCTCACGCCTTGGTGGTGAATCCACCAGCCTTGGGTTTTGTTACCCCAATTCACTTTCATATCTGACAGTAGGCAGAAACGGTCCATCATATGTTGCACTCCTTCCATTGATTCCTTAGTTGCGTCAACCATCAGGGTCAGATCGTCGGCAAATAACGAGCATACCGGGATGGCCTCCTTGGGTATGACCGATACTTGAATCCTTTTTATGTCTCTATGGGTCCTCAAATTGGCTGTTAGTGCTTCCATGACTATCACAAACAGATAGGGGGCGATCGGATCGCCCTGTCTGACGGACCTCTGCAGTTCGATGGGCGGGGCCAGGTTGTTGTTTACCATGACCCTGGTTGTTGCGTTAGTGTGTAGAATTTGTACCCAGCGTCGGAAGTGAGGCCCAAAATTGAGCTTTTCCAGKCATTTGTCTWGAAAATACCAATCCACGTGATMATAGGCCTTTTCAAAGTCTATGAAGATTATTGCTRCGTTGTTTCGGGTCTGCMTGGTTAACTTAATCATTTCGTTGACCAACAAGATATTGTCTTGTATATTTCTGCCCTGGATGAAACCCGTCTGGTCCGGGTGAATGATATCTGTCATTATCAGTTCCAGGCGGTTTGTCAGGGCTTTGGCGATCAGCTTATAGGCTACCGTGAGCAGCGTGATGGGCCTATAATTCATGATGTTAGTGTTGTCCCCTTTTTTATAGAGGAGTGTCAGTACACCTTGTCCTACAAATTTCCCCATCCTGCCGGTCACCCAGATCTCATGGTAAAAGTCCATGAGGTCTTGTGAGATGATTGGCCACATGGTCTCCCAAAATTCCTTTGGCAGGCCGTTAACTCCGGGGGTTTTGTCCTCCTCCATTTGTTGCAGCGCGACCCTTATTTCCTCTTTAGAGAGGGGTTTATCTAGCATTTCCTTTTGCTGGATTGTAAGTGATTTATTCAGTGGAACTAAGAAGTCTTCTATTTCCGGTTTCCGCTGATCCTCGGGCCGGGTCCTTGAAGTGGATGTGAAGAGTTCCTGATAAAAGTCTCTGGCTATTTTTGTGCAGGCCGCTGTGGATGTGACCAGGGGCCCCCGGTTGATTTTGGGGTCTTCCAGCGCTTCAATCACCGATCTCCCGGTTTTCATTCTAGCCATTGCGAAGAATCTAGCATCCATTGCACCTTCCATTTTATGCTTGGAGAGTTTGCCCCGGATCCTGGCCCCCTGCCATCTGCGTTCCATGTGAGTGACAAGCTCTGCTTCCAATGTTTGGATGGCTTGGGCTATGTCAGTGTCAGAGTCAACTGTATCATCCTCCTGCTGCTGAAGCTGGTGCAGGCGGCGTTGTGCCTCTCTCTCATCTGTGTGGCGTCGTGCTGCTATTATTTTGGAGAATTCGTTGCACTTGCGGCCCAAAAAGGCTAGGCCGTTGTTGAACCATGTTATGTCGTCGTTTATTTGTTCCTTCTGCTCTTGCCAGTAGGACCATACGTCTTTTAGGTATGTTTGAAAATTCTCCATTTTCATAAGGGATGTGTTGAGTTTATAAAACCCCTTGCCCTGGTCCGTTTTTTTCCTGAAGGAGAAGACTGCGACGCACATTGCATGGTCCAGGCCCGGGAGGGGGCTGTGGGGAAATATGTTTGCTGTTTGGAGGGCTCCCAACCACATAGACCTGGTTGCCGAACATACCAAATAGACCGACATCACAATTTACGTTTCAAAAACAACCCCCCGGCAAACAGCACAAGGCCACAAGGGGAAAGAGAAGTAAGCAGTGAGGCAAAAGAAAAAATACTACCGGTAGTCCCAAAAAAAAAAAAAAAGCCAAAGAAAAACAAGAAACTGAGGAGCGACCCATAACCCTTAGGATTGTCTCCTGGGTCTAGGGTACATTAGGTTTTGAGGAGAAGAGTGTCTCCTGGGTCTAGGGTACATTAGGTTTTGAGGAGAAGAGTCTGCTTTATGATAAAAGAACGAAAAACAAACGAACAGACATGATAATGACAGGTTCTTTATCCAACTTGCACGGACTCCTCAGGAGGGCGAACCCTCGAACGGTCTGTGGAATCCCCATATTGACGTTTTGAGTCGTGAACCCTTTGACCCTCGTTGAAAGTGGGAGGAGGCGCCGGTTTTTTTTCCTGCAAGGCTGGGGCCATGTACTAGCGGTTTACGCATCCCTCACACCATCTGCCTCTGAAGACTGTACG